CAGTTAAGATGAGTGGCTGCGCACTCACTAGCTGCAAGAAGGTTCCTTTTCTGTGCAGAAACTGCACAGGTGTACAGCAGCAGCTCACTGCTCCTGACAGGCTGCCCCAGCACCACTTTGTTGATGGATCAAATGCAGAGGTTGAATTTCCCTCAAAAGGGATTACTAAAATATACTGTACCTCAAGATTATTCCAAATGATCAGGTTTTAAAAAGATGTGGGGGTTTCCATTTTGTGCCACTGTCTTTGGGCTCCCATCAATATTACATGAGTGAGGTGGAAGATTTTCACTTTTGAAAAGAGTTTCTTTGCATTAATGACTTCAGAATCCTATTTTTATTTTTATTTTTTTGGTGTCATCTGGTTTCCTCTCTGTCCATTTTTATTTTATTTTTTTTAACACGTCTCTGTTCTTTAGTGTTCAGTTCCAGGGCTGTTGGTGCAGTTTGTATTTGAGGTTCTTCACTTGTGTTCAGTCCAGTTTTATGTTATGAACAAGTAAAAGGTATAAGTAGTTTGAAATTAACAAAAAGGAACAATCTGTGAAAAAGGTTAGATTACAATTTTTAGGTTGGGCGTCATCCTAAAACCTGAAAACTGAAGAGTTAATAACAGCTTTAGCAGTTTTCAAATTAAATAAGCTCATCAGCTACAGTTGCGTCAGATGATTTTCATGTCTCACAGTTGCAAGACATGAAGTAGATTTAGTTTAGATTAACTATGAACTATCAATGATATTAATAAAACTGACACCTGTAGTTGTGGTTAGAGGACACCACCCAAACCTGCAAACACAAAGGAAACAGTCAGTAACAAATTACAAGTAGTGTTTTATCTTGGGAGTACACAACTAAAACTATCTCTGTATTCAACAAAACATGGTTTCACATAGCTGTTTCTTAAAGACTAGTGTATTTTCAGCAAAACAATTTAAAATTCACCTTTGGGTCTTTGGAGGAAAGCTGGCTGAAATTCAACTCAAAACACAGTTTAGGCAAACTCTGTACCAATTCTTTCATTCATTCCATATTTTGGAGCATATCCGCTGAAAAAAAAAAAAAAAAAAAATCCATTCTTCTTCTTTGTTCTTGGGTCTTTTTTGACTTCCGATGGAGGCAAAGGTTCATTTTCACTGGTCAGCAGCAGTATATATAGCAGTAGTAGATATCACAGAGCTGGCTGTCAAAGTGTTAGACACCAACTTAAAACCTGAAAACTTGAGGGTTAGTCAGTAATATATGACAGACATGTTTTAGCTTTTGCCATTTTCAAATAAAATAAACTAACATCTGCTACATTTGCCGCAGATGATTTTCATGTCTCACAGTTGCAAGACATGAACTGAAGTAAAATTAGCTTTAGCTTATTTTATGAACAAGTAAAATGTATAAGCAGTTTTAAATAAACAATAACATGTCAATAATAAAGCTGCACCCTGTAAAAAAAAGTGAAACCTCAAAACTGAAGAGTTAGTAACATGACAGTCATCACATTTTAGCTTTAGCAGTTTTCAAATAACATAAACTAACATCTGCTACAGTTGCCGCAGATGATCTTCATGTCTCACATTTGCAATACATGAAGTAGATTTAGCTTAGATTAACTATGAACTAATTAACAATGATATAAGAAAACTGATACCTGTAGAAGGGTTAGAGGACACCACCCAAACCAGCAAACACAAAGGAAACAGTCAATACACAACTAAAACTATCTACATTATTCAACAAAGCATGGTTTCGCTTAGCTTAAATTCACCTTTGAGTCTTTGTGTTTTGGGTTGAACGTCCATGAGCTTTCCTCCACAGTTCAGGTAAAATCTTCCAGCAAGGTGGTTTGACTGCTTAACACTTTTCCTTAATTATGCACTTGTTTCAGTTTTAACCACCACAACCACCCCAAACCGGGGGTGTCTTACTTTTTGAATTAGAAAATCTGGTCACACTGTTATTCAATAACCCAAAACCAAGTGCCATCTGTGGAAATTAAACAATAAATCTAGTCCACATTTAGACCAAATCAACCTATAAGAGACCACACAGTCCCCTTCCAGTGTGTGTAGAATATGACACATTTGGACTAGTTTAGGCCCAAATCTGGGCCATTATAAACCACAGCATTCAGATCTTGTTTTGAGAGGACACAAAGTAAAGAATAAAAAGAAAGAATAGATATTTTAGGAATTGAGGGTTACAACATGGCCATTGTACAGTTTTAAATTTCCAGGATAGATGAGAGATTTTTAGTTCCCAAGTAGGTTTTCATCCCATTTGATGACAGCTTACCACTTGTTATATTGCACTTGTTTAAATGTGCATGTTTGAGTGAGTGTGTCAGTATTTTATGGCAGGTCCTGTACCATCCTTATATAATTCATGTTTGGAAGGTGATTATTTTTCCCACAAATGTACCATTCATTTCATATAATTCTGAGTCATTGTGTTCCAGTTCAGTGACCCAAGCTTGGTGTACATTTTTAAACCTTTTCATTGCAATGTGTTACGTTTGAAAAACACATTTTCTCCCCATGATTTCACCCTACTGAGAGATTTTTATTTGAGACACGTTTTGTTTCATGAGTTTTGTTTGTGGCACAATTTCCTTCATTTTATTGACAAAACCGTTTGCTTTTTTTTTTTTTTTTTTTTTTTTTTTCCAAAAAAGGCCTTTCTATAAGTTTCCTTTTACCAGATAGTTTGAGGACACAAGGCCGCACCTTCATGCTTCCTTTTATAATCCACCTTTTTCATTAAACCATCATTTAAAACACAACCACAGAATAAAATAGATTTCCTTTCAACGAAAGCATCATTATCATTTGAAACTCATCACATCATCGCTTTATTTATTTCAATCCACTTTGCACATTGCATAAACGTGAATCACAGCGGGGAGTAACTATGCACCAGCAGCAGCATTCATTCATCCAACATTTCCAAACGAACACATTTTATTTATTATTGCAATAATGATTCCGTATCCACAAACAAGACTTACCTGAACTCATAAGACTTACCTGGACTCCTACGTGCTGTTTGTCGTGCTGATGGTGCTCCAGTCCCGCTGCACTTTTGGCGCGTTTTCCTGAATCCCGCGGGTTCTGCTCCGATGGCTCCACGCCGCTTTTTCATTCTTTGTCAACACAGTCTCACTCCAAGAGCGTCAATAAGTGACATTTTGTCAGTGCCCTTTGGCGTCAATACAAAACGAAAGTAGTGCCCATTTGCGTCCAGCAATGACGCGAAGTGTTTTTCATTCATCCTAAGGAGAGTCCCACAGCAGCACCTTCACTTTCAATGAAAAATACCTAAGCTGCCTGTTAAACATAAAGCTACTGCAGCAGTTCTTTGACTGTGCAAATAGAATGCTGCTTGTCAGCCTAAATTATCTGCACATAAGAGTGTGAGTCTCATATAGACTTGAGATGATTTTGGCCAATATGATATTTGACATATTTTGAGAGAACTGTATGTAATGTGAAATAAAGCAACAGCACCAACAGTTTATTGTACAATATATACAACTTATTGTTTAAAACAGCAACTGTAGAGTTTTGACTCCTCACAGAGGACATTGAGCCCAGACCATCTTGAGCCTGAAACAAAAGAAAGAAAAAGTTATTTCACATCAGCCTGAGCAGAGAAGTGTGCACTGACCCTTAAAGATTAGAGACATTAACCATCTCTGCATGTGCATTTAGTTTTAAGTATATACTTATAGTTATAGAAGATTACCATCTCTCCATACATTTACATTAAAGTAACATCACATTCAAAGACACAAGTTCAGTTTCCATGGGTGAACGGTGTAAATGTGTGTTCCTATAATGCATAGGCTGTGTACTGTGTTTGAATAAACAATAAATAAAACAGGAAAATGGATCTTGACACTCATACAAGGGCATTCAACATTTGTTTCTTCCTGTCCACTTCAGAGAGTAGGAAATTCAGCATATTAAAAAAGACATATTGTGTTTTTTTCTGGTATTTTGTTGCATTATGTACGCAATGTAAACCACAGTATTGCTCCATAACAGCTCGAATTTCATCAGTGTTTTCAATGTCCCACACCTGGATAGTGTTGTCCTGAAAGAGATAAACATTTAAAGTGCATAGGGTCTGATGTTTTTCTTATTTATTTTGGTGGGATAGTACTTGTGGTAAATTTTTATCATAGTTTTACACCAGTTTATGAAGAAAAGTTGAATTTAATAAGTTGAAAAGTTCTGTCATCAGTAAACAAATTTCCACCCAAAATGTTAATTTTGAATGGCCCTTGTCTCTGTATGTCATATCTGCAACCCATACATGTCCAAATAAAATAATATTCTTCACCAGAATATTAAATACAGTAATTACCTTTGAGTCAGAGATAACCTGCTTCCTGTTAGTGCTTATACACACATCTGTAACACAATTACTCTGGCCCTAAAGAGAATTAGATTTAAATTGAGTAGAAAAATTATTGAGGAACATGAACATTTACACACTCAGATAATGCTGGAGTATTTAAAGTTCACCTTTAGTGAGAGGGTCTGACTGAGGGAGGTCATGTCCCACAGAGACATTCTTTTATCGAATGAACTAGACATGAGGAGGGCATCTTCACAAAGAACATAATTAGAATTAAAATAATTGGTATAAAAAAATTGAAAACATAATAATACTTTTTCTACTACTAAATATAATAAGGTTTGTAGGTTCAAGGAGTACATGGCTGGGACTAAACCATGACTAAACTCTGACCAGAACCAGGACTAACCCCAAGAACAGAATCAGGAACAAACCAGGACAAAACCAGAAACAAAACAAGATTAGACCAGGAATAAAAAAGTTTTTTTAGTAGGAATGCTGCTGAAGCTTATTACTACAGAGGAAATAAGAATACAATATTTACTATATTTTGTAAAAGTGATTTTTTCCCATCAAACTGTCGAAGTAAAAACTATGTAATATTTCTTAAACTAGTACAAAACCAATCATGTTTATAATGTATGTTTTTAATGCGAGTAGAACCCTCCTTGATTCTGACTGTCATTGGAGAAGCGACAGAAGCTGACACTGCCCTCATGTCCTCTCTGAAGACATGTCCCCCTGTGGACTGCTGGTCCCACAGCTTCAGGGTCTTGTCCCATAATGCACTGCACAAGAAGTGAGAGTTTGAGGTGGAGCAGAAGTCCGAGATGGCGTTGGAGTGGTTACTGATGAAGGAAGAAGAAAACTGTGTGATGGTGTGTATTTCTAGGTTTAAGGTGCACTGCGTAACATTTCTAGTGGAGGCTTCACCACCTGCTGGTCTCCATGGAAATGTTATTGCTTTGTATAGAATGTTCCACAGTATATCACCTGTCGATGGACATGGTGGTCTTGTGACTGTGCAAGTCCCACAGTTTGATGCAGCGGTCGGCAGAGATGCTGATGATGCATTTGCTCTCTGGGTCGAACTGGCAGTGAGATATTGTGGTTTTGTGAAAACTTGAGAAAATTATACAGAAACAGGTAAAAACACTTTATTCAAAAACCTAAAACTTAACAGGCCTCCACCTGATGGAAATTGTATTGTGTTGGATAACATTTCCTAATAAAGTGTACCTTAAAATACCTTAAATAACTTATGTTTCAGTGTATGGCAAATATCATATCTGGAAATGTTCTGAAGTACTGTTTGAACTTTCCATTAAAATAAAATACATTTTTAAGAATAAATAAATTAACCTGTCTTGCTTTAAATAAACAAATAATATAAAATACAGTTGTTGTCTGGCCAGGCTCTGATGTTACTTACATATAGCAAAATAATTTTCATTTTCCAAAACACATGTGACTTTTCATATTTCATGATATTCAGAAACAAACCCAATTTACCCATTAAAGTCAATCATGTCCCACTTTACGTTTGCCTTTTTTATTTCAAGGACAAAAATGTACCAGCACAGTGTGAGTTTTTTCATGTGGATAGGATTATAAGTGAACAATGACGGAGAGAGTTGATGTTGGCTGTATCGTTGATGTGATGCACGGTCTGACTGCTGGCGGTGTCACTGATGTAAAGACCGTTCTGAGGAAGAGAGGCACAAAAAAGGAGTCTCCCATCAGCCGAGGAGGAGCAGGAGGTGAAGAGGCCGGGCTGATGACACTTTCACTGGGAACAAGGGAGAGAAACACAGGTATAACCTTTACAGTATATATGTCAATTATGGAGTAAATTGGATGTAAATTACTGTCCAGGGACCCAACAGATTTGACTCTGAAACTGCAAGTATAATGTACAATTCATTCATGTACAAAACATTTTAAAGTATCAAGATCTTGTCATGATGGTCTCTTCCTGGTTTGTTTTAGTTACTGACAACTACACCTTCATTTACCATTTAAAGGATAATGGATAAAAGGATAGCAATATTCCCGCATTCATCCATTTCTTCTGGGATTAAGTTAATATGTTAACTCACCACATAGTTAACATTCATTAGTCATCACATAGCTGATAAGAGACTGAGATTTCAAGCTTTTTTTTCTGAATGTTTATGGTAGGGTGACCAGATTTTCAAAATTCCAAACTGGAACACACCCAGGTTGGGATGGTCGGTATAAATAAAACTGTCAAAAGAGAGTGTAACTGTGCATTCTCATGTCAGTCATAACCCGAGGGACTTCTGTATTTTCTCTTTTTTTGCTTTATGGTCATTTGTAAACATGGTTTTCTGTATTTTGGCAAAACAAATGACAATTTATGCTCCTCTTTACTGCTGGCGGGGATCAGAATAGTCAAATATCGTGATAGTCCTGTTTTAGTCCTGGTTTAGACCAGATGTAGTCCTGGTTACCTCCGCCAAGGAGGTTATGTTTTTGCCGGCGTCTGTTTGTTTGTTTGTTTGTTTGTTTGTTTGTCTGTTAGCAACATAACTCAAAAAGTTATGGACCGATTTTGATGAAATTTTCAGGATTTGTTGGAAATGTGAAAAGGAAGAACTGATTTCATTTTGGGGGTGATCTGGAAGAAATCCTGGATTCTGGATCACTTTGAAATTTTAGTTAATATTGTGGTAAATGGGGCCAAAAATTTTGTTTCTCAATATCTCGGTTAATTATTGACCAAACCCCATGCAATTTGACTCAGGAATGGACAATGGGATCCTCTTTCATATTCCAAAGGCTGATCCGGATCTGATCCAGAAGACTGATTTTATCGCAATTTATATAAAAAATGGGGGTAGTCCTTGGCGGAGGTCTGCGCTCTCTGAGTGCTTTTCTAGTTTAATCTTAGTTTAGTCCTGGTGTAGACCTGGTTTAGATCAAATTGGTAAAAAATAGGGACACCTGGGACATTTCCTGTGTAAAACTGGGACAAATCACTGGTCTTGTATAAATCTGATGGAAAAGGGGAAACAGTGGTGTGGGCGGTCACTGTTGAACTATGTAAGAGGTAGTTACCGGCATCTATCCTGTCTCCATGTCCCAGGACACCGTCTTCTTATCCCAGAAGACTGTGACCATCCTGACAAGACAAGAACACAAAGACACATGAGGGGTGCATGAAACATTGTTCTTTGTTCTTATTGTTAGGATAAAAAACTAGGCTTAGGTGGTGTATAACTACTGCTATGATGTTACTGATGTACTGCTATATTTTATTATTGTACTATTATAATTCACTATACAATGACCCAGAAAACAGGGACTAGATTACAGATAAGGGATGCAGAGATAGGTTCAGGTCATGTACAAGATATTCTATTTCTATCTATATGTCTTAACTAAATAGGGCAAGGACTTATTGATAGGGATATACTGACTCACGACTCATCACCCTGATCAGGCCAGCAAGACGCTCCCGTAAGGGGAGTGAGATGATCCTTGTCACAATCGGATAAGATTGTGCAATGTGCCAAGAGGCCTGGCTGGCCTGTGCATCAACAAAGAGGCACTAAGTCTAAACCATGGTCGCCTCCCACTATAGTTTGTGTATAAAAATCATTGTATAGGCGTAAATATTCAGTCTCTGCATGGGAATGTCAGCACAGACTCCTTATACAAGTATGACTTTGGAATAAGTAAATTATCTGGACTTTATTTCTGTTTCCGGTGTAATTTTTTGTCTAAGCAGAAACGAACGAACACGAGAGGAAAAGGGTTATTTTCCTCAACATTATGATAACATCACAACTGAAGCACAGACCCGAATTTGATTCCAGACTCTTCTGCATTCAAACAGGATGTAAGACTGCCTGGTCACGCAATAGTTTTAATGTAAACATGATTCATTCAGTCGAAATTCACAAACCTGTTGGTGTCTGGGATCATGGCACACTCTGTTATGGTTCTTTCATGGCCTCCAGTGAAATCTCTGACAGGACGACAGCTCTCTACCTCCTATAAAACACTTCATTATAAAAGGAATCATCAGTGTGCTATAATTACTATTTTATTATGTTTTGGTAGTAAAAATCAGGGGTTCTGAGTTCACTACCCAGAGGCAAGCGGTGCAGTCGGAGGAGCAGCTTACAAAGTGTGTGTCACTGAGGCAGAAGCGAGTGGCTGTGACTGAGTCTGTGTGAGCTCTGAGTATCTTCACTGAGACCTGAATAACAAAAACAAAGAACATATGATTTTGAAGAATTTGCTTAAGGTCTGTTAAATTTTCTGGACTACGCCACCTGCTGAATAGAGATATTGCTGCATTGCATTTTTTGGTGGCAAAGAATATACCTTTAAAAACATCCATTCTAACTGAGCAGGCTCGCTTCTCCACAGATATGACTTGTAACTTGGCCTAGTGATGCCACCTTATTTCTCCATGGAGACTGATGCTTATAAAAGTCGTGGAATTTTCCAGACAAAGGAGTAACATCCATGGAGACAAGGATAAGTGGATCCTCTGCCAGAAAAAGTTACATAGTGTGCCTTAAGGGAGTTTTCATTTTATGCCAATTTTACTAAACTAAAAAACGAAAGATACACTACCACAAGTTTATTATGTAAATAATGCCGTTTTAATTAAATTAACTGAAACCTGTTTTATTTTCTGTTATTACGGTCCAGTAGCAAAACTGCAATCAGATATATCCTAATACCTATTAATAAAATACATTAATTCAGACCATATCAGTAGCTTATACCTTCAAATTGTGCAACAACAACACATGTTCATTATGAAAGACTAGAATGTAAAATAAAACCCAAATCACGTTGTATCGCAGTTACCCCTCTGACCACTGGGTGGAGACTCACCCTGACTGGACTGAGGATTTTTCTCCTCCTCTGGACACTGAGGTTTCCTGTGCTCAAGTCCACATTCATCTGGATCAGACTGGCATCTTCAAGAGCCATAATAATCTGGTCACCAAGAGGCAGCGACCATGAAAACTTCAAACTAAATAGAAAACACAACAAATTTCAAAAATGACTGAAAGGCCTTCTTGTTAAAGTTAAAGTTAGTAACTTAAACTCTAACAAAGTTAAAGTTAGTAACAGCAGCATAGTAGTGGTGGTACTGGTAGTAAGTTAGGCATCAAGCATCAATATGCAAATTACAGTGAGAGAAACACTTACCTCATTGTTCCAGTTATCATAGGGCACTTGCCTGGTCACCTGTTGATGCATTTATTTTTTTATTTTTTTATTTAACCTTTATTTAAACAGGAAACAGTCTCATTGAGATTAAAAATCTCTTTTTCAAGAGAGTCCTGGAGGCCACAAAACTACAGTTTCAAAACATATAAAAACATACATACAATACATTCAGAATGACAGAACAATCAACACAATACAAAGATAGTTAAAACAATTACACCCTGAGGATTCCAGATCTCTGTTTTTTAAAATCTGTTTAAAAGATTCTAAGGAGACCAGCTCCTTTAACTTCAAATCATGTTGTAAAAACTTCCATGCCGAAGGAGCATAAAACTGAAAAGCATTAATATGGTACTGAAGTGTAAAGGCCCAGACCTCCAAAACAACCCCCCACCTCCCACTATGAAATGAAATTGAAAAATTTTGTTAACTCAGGTTTAATGTTGTTTATAAGAGTAGGTCAAATACTGAATCTTTGCCATTGTCAGGAAACACAATGCAGAACAAGGAATAATAATTGTAAAATACATTGTAATAAATAAAAATAAAATACAGATTTCTATTAACCATAAACTATGATGAGTGAGTGTCAGAAAGTAGTGCTCATTCTAATGCATGTATCAAATGTTAATGCAGAAGAGGAAAAACTCACAAAATGGCAATGAGTTTTGATGACCATCTAAAATTGTATAGAAGAGGGACATGTAACTCACAGAGAGAGGAATAACTGAAATATGTTACATCCCTGACTACAATCTCTTTGCAAGATTTTTTTTAAAACCATGTTTTCTATGTAATTCTCACTCTTAAGACAATTCATGGGTCATTTTCTAAAATAAGTGAGATGAGACACAGGGGTCTACAGAGGCAAGCCACATTTAGACTGTGCTGTCTGTCAAAGCGACTAAATAATGGAATAGTCTTTTGTGTCACCTGCCTGGAGCATTTTATTTACACTGTAATTACAGATATGCATTAATATACACTGCCTCAAATAAATAAATAAACAGATAAAAATGAGTATCTGTGCAGGACAACCAAAAGAGGCACAGGAAGAGAAGAGATACACTGACTGACCTGCTGCTAGAACAAAATCCACTGTAGCTCACCCTCAGAGTGAAGTTGCTTTCTGCTTCTTTACACAGAGTGAACCAACAGGTGGAGATTTGAGAGTTGAACTGCTCTAAAGACCATGCTGTATCAAATAAGTTCATCAAAGCAATCTGTAAGGCTCCGGACAACAACACTTCCAACCCATTGACAACTAAAGCGGTGACACTGAGCTCCATGTACTCGGAAAAACACAAAACATCCCATTCTGGAAAATTACCTTTTTGAAACAGTGGTGTTGCATTGTGAAACAACAAAACTGTGTTTTCAGTTCCACCTCATTATCCTCTCTATTTTGTAATTATTAACTTACAGTGTATGCACAATAATTATATATATTTGAATGTGCCTTACCTGGTAATATTGCTGTACTCTCAACCAGCTCCCCTTTCTGAGGGACCAGAGCTGATTTAGAGACAAAACATAATAACATCCTGCAAAAAAACAAATACTAGAAATGATAAATCCAGGCTATAATATTTTATTTTAAAGAACTCTTTACTCACATAATTCTCAGATTTATTCTTAGTGTAGACTTCATGATGATGTGTTCAAAGGAGAATCTTCACTGCAGTGAGGTGGGCCTATTTGTATCTGAGGGGCTGGTGTCATCTGTTGAAGAACAACAGAACACCTGAGTTCACTCCAGAGTGTGAAACGCAGGTGCCAAATATTCAGAAAGAGTATCTTCCCTAAGTGCTTGCATGTGTGAGATGTTAACATCAGAAGTTCGTGAGTATTAAGATCTTAAGGCATGTGCAATAGCCAGATGAGCGTTCATTTGCATGAGGGCGCAAACTATCCAGTGTCTACCTTGAAACAACTGAGTGGTACACCTCCGAGAAGTAGCCAATGTTGTATTTAGGCCTATGCAGTACCAAAATAAAATAAAATAAAAAGTAGGCCTTGGTATAGTTTATTTTGATTTTGTAAGTTTGACTGCACGCAACTAAATCCAATTAATTAAATTATTACTTAAAAATTATAGAGATCTATTGGGTGCCTGATTTGCAGATCAGAATGTTTATTTGAGTAAACTCTATCCATTGAATGAGAGGAAATGTTTTGTTCTCCCACAAAGCCCGGTGCGCTCCCCAAACAGATGACATCATCTCTAAAGGTGAGCAGCCATTTTGTTAGCTCAAACGCTAGCTTCAGGGTTAAAGGATTAGCGGACGCGTTCGAAGTGGCCAGTCTAGAGTTAAATCTGTGCAGAAAAATTAAGTATTTCACGTTTTCTTTTGTATGTAAGTGCTAGACTTGAAATCGTGGACTAAAACGGGGCTTTCGTAAGTGATGACGCCACGCGCAGTGTTAAAATTACTAGTCATTCATTGCACAATCTGTCTTGAGTTTTTAGCCTGTTAGCAGGCTAAACTCTTGCACGCTGTTGTGGAGCAAGTTTGTTTGATTTTTAAGAGTTTTTGACTGCTTTAACTTTTGTATGTGCTGGACTCATTAGTCGGTAATTTGCTCCTGAATTCACATTTGACACTGATCAACTAATCAACTCAGTTGATTTAGTTTTAGGATTAGCTTTAGCAGCGTCACTCGTGTTTGATTGTGGTGTTTTCTAATCACTCGGGCTGGTTCCGCTCGGACTCAGCCGCAGAAAAATGGCCGACATGTACATTCGTGTGGCCGAGGACGAGAACGAGGAGCCCATGGAGATCCCATCTGAAGACGACGGGACGGTGCTGCTGTCCTCCGTGGCCGCTCAGTTCCCAGGGGCGTGCGGGCTGCGGTACCGCAACCCCGAGACCCAGTGCATGAGGGGGGTCCGGCTGGTGGAGGGCGTCCTCCATGCGCCTGAGAGTGACTGGGGTAACCTGGTCTACGTGGTCAACTACCCCAAAGGTGAGCTCATTCAAAAGTACATACTGTACATACATGCTATACTACAGGCGTCATAAAGTTGCACAAAAAAAGAATCTCTCAAGACTATCACAGCAGCTGGCAGCAGGAAACTGAGATGAAGAAACATTCATTATCTTAACTTATTAGCATAATTTACAATGTAACATATATGCTTAATTGGAACAGTGCCTTACTCAACCCCACAATAAAAGACAAAAGTGTCAAAATAAATACAAAAAGTCAGTGTTGTCCTCTTTTAGACATCAGCATTAATTTGTGTGTTTTTGTGAATATTGGAGTTTTTTTTTTTTTTTTTTTAATTATTGAACTCATCCCAGTCTTTTCTTTGCAGATAATAAAAGGAAGATGGAAGAAATAGATGCTGCGTCGGCTGTGAAAATCAAAAGAGGCTTTCAGAAGACATCAGATCTCATTGTGCTCGGGTTGCCATGGAAGACGACAGAGCAAGACTTAAAGGACTATTTCAGTACCTTTGGAGAAGTTATCATGGTGCAGGTAAGTGTAGTGTAATTATGTTTTAAAGGGTAACAACCTCCCTTTGTGACTTTTTTTTTTTTTTTTTTTTTAAAGGTAAAGAGAGACACAGCCACTGGAAATTCAAAGGGGTTTGGCTTTGTCCGGTTCACTGACTATGAAATACAAACTAAAGTTATTTCTCAACGACACATGATTGATGGGCGATGGTGTGACTGCAAACTGCCCAACTCAAAGGTTGGCTTGTTACACTGCAATCTATATGATTTCCATTTTTAAATTACTCTCAAACTAATTAACCCTGTTTGTTTTAGACTTCTCCTGATGAGCCCACAAGGTGTAGAAAAATCTTTGTGGGCCGCTGCACAGAGGATATGAGCCCTGACGACCTGAGGCAGTACTTCATGCAGTATGGAGAAGTCACTGATGTGTTCATCCCAAAGCCGTTCAGAGCTTTCGCCTTTGTCACTTTTGCAGATGACCAGGTTTGGCCATAGTCATGACCTCTTCAGTTACTTCATAGATTGGACATTTATTGTTGAATGTGTTATTTAATTCCAGGTCGCGCAAGCCTTGTGTGGGGAGGACTTGATCATCAAAGGAGTCAGCGTACACATCTCGAATGCTGAGCCCAAACACAACAATAGTAGGCAAATGATGGATCGTGGGCGCTTTGGGGGGGCAGGTGGATTCAATAAGGGCTTTGCCAATAACCGCGGTGGGATGGGTGGTGGGAGTGGAGGGGTAAATTTTGGGGCTCTGGGTCTTCCCCCTGCAATGGTGGCTGCTGCTCAGGCCGCTCTACAGAGCAGCTGGGGCATGATGGGTATGTTGGCCAGTCAACAGAGCCTGACCACCACAGCTGGCACTGCCCCCACCACACGAGACCAGACCTACACCACCCCCAGCACTAGCTACAGCAGCCCCACCTCGGCCTCCCTGGGCTGGACTGGGGGCAGCACCACACCATCTGGAGGTAGCTTCAACTCAGGCTTCAACTCCATGGAGTCCAAGTCATCTAACTGGGGAATATAGAGCGCACCTATCACCCTTTTTATTTTTGTAGACTAATCTGGTAAGTATGCCAAGGCTGGGGGGCACCTTTCTTAAGTTCCTATCATTTAAAAATACACTGCCTTTTATTTTGTTACACAGATGAGATGATTTATTTATGACTAAGTCATACATTGAATGAGTGAAAAGTTGTAGTGGGATCTGCCAGACTAGCTTTTGTTTTTGAAAAATTGTGGCAGCGATGATTGTGCATGCAAAGTATATATTTATATACATGCACGAGTATCTAAGCCCCCTCCAGCCTGTATAATGTGGGCCTAATTTGTTGTAATCATATATCTGTATACAGTTGATTGGATCATTTTTTTGTTTTATGTTTTTACATCTCCTGGAAACACCTGCAGTTCACCATCTTTTCCCAGTCCCCTGGGAGGAAGCCCAGTCCGACCACAGTATCTTTCCCCTCCGTCCCAAACGCTTTGTCGTGAAAGAGCGCCTCCACGTACACTGTGTTAGACGGTGGGTGTTGTCTTTTTCCTCTCCCCTTTGACAGGAATAGAACCCTGTCACTTTGGAGATCATTGAGTGAGTAGGTGTTGGACAGAGTGCGAGTGCGAGCGGAGGGCCAAATGAAAAGAGCACGTGTGGAAAGACTGTCTGTTTTTTAAGCAACAAATGGCTGCCTGCGAGAGACCGGACCTGTGCTTTGTGAGTGTGAGAGGAACAAGCCAGTACGAATGTGTGGCCCATCACCAGGACGACAGCTTTTTCACATTGTTTGAAATTCTTAACAACAGCGCAATGTTAAGTGCTTTGAGTATTTGTATAGTTTGCTAGCATTCTCTTGCTGTCTGATTTGTGAGTGCTGTGCCTGACTGTATTCTCTCTGTGACCATCCTTTGTGAACATGATGTTTGTGTGGAGACAGTACTGGGAGCGTGGTGAGCGCTGATGTGACGAGTGTCTGAAAAGTTCCCATTGAAAGTTTGTGTTTGAAGCACGTCATGAATGCTTTTCTATGTTTGTGAATCAAAGGGAAAATTAAAATTGATTTTGACGGGTATCACAGTTTCTTGACTATTTTATCATACAAGATATTTGGGTTAAAAGCTTTGAGATGCCACTAGTGCAAAACAATATAGGAGCTACTGATTTTTATACAACAAATGTGCAGTAAAATCATTAAGATAAGGTTTTAAACATTTACCAATTTGTCCCTACTTTTTGTTGGGATCTGCATTAGTATCTTGAAAACTACATGGTCCTGAGGCAGTGAGTTTGCAGTGCTTTCTTAGTAGGATATCTTACCAACTATCTGTTGCATTGTTCCAGTCAGCCTCTTCAAAGCACAGAAAGATAAACTAGCTCCACATTAGCACACAGCCTTTTGTCATGTAAGGTTGATAATGTAAACTGACAGCTTTGTATCTGAATGGCTCATTGTGAAATATGGTGCTGCTCTCAGAATCAAAGCTTTTATAGTGGGATCTTTGAAGTGTCCCAGGACAGTAATACAGTGAGGATCTGAGTAAACACAGTCAACCCCTTAACGGGTGTGGGTCACAGGTGCAGAGGCCTTTTTCAACTGTTGGCAGGTGCAGATGTAGCACGCTCCTGTCAGGTAGTCATTGTTCACATTAGTAACAACCAAATTAGTATATAGAATATTGGATTGTTGTTATTATATAGTGTATACTGTGTATTATTTTATTTTTTTACCAAATGGCTGATCTATTATATATTACAACTTCAGTTTTAAATGAATTAGGCTGCATGTCATAATTCAAATTAATGAAAAAGTCTAGAATTATTATTACCCTGACTCACTGCGTATTTTGTGAAGTTGCTCTTTGGATGCTAGTGCCATCTAGTGGTCAACATCTCATCACCAATAAGTGAATATTGTAAAGTAATGTGAACTGTCTTAAAAGGTTTATACATTTGTAGTGAAGATTTTATATTTGTGTCAAATGGATCTATTGGATAGACATTTTTATATGTCACTAAATAAAGTGAGTTTTTATTCAAGCTTGTCTGCTTAATCTGCCACAATTGACAGGCCGTTTAATAGCACACTATTTTCTCACCTATGTTATAATGCTGTTTCCTCCTTAAATGCATACCTGGAGTTGTGTTTTGTTTCATTCACACATGTTTAATACACAAATCCTGCATATTTAGACTGTTTCACCTTGTTATATCATGCGCTAATACATGAAGTGCACCACTATATTTAAACTACATACCTTCATTAGAGACATTTGGACAATTTCAGCCCTGGAATTGCCAGTCTCTACTCAACAAAAAGTAAAAGGTAGCTGTTAACTTTAAAACTACCACTTCATGACATCACAAGGTGGAAAAGAGCATTCTAAGCTTTGGAGATGTAGACAGACCAATAATAAACGGTTACTCAAACGTGAATGACACAAAACACCTGCAGGTATGTTTTGAGAAGATAACATTATAGCATTGTTAAAAGTTCACAGGAGTGAATAGTGGTTAATATAGGACCTTTAATCAAAGACTGCATGACCTAAATGAGGTAGAAGGCATGGAGTGAATGAATAATGCATCGGAAATTGCTTTGGTGCTATTATTGTTATTATTAAAAGGTTTATATAGTTGAAGTTACATTTGCCATTTCTATTTTAAACTTATGTCAACATGAGTGTCAACATGAACCAGACAACTTCTTAAACCACTTGCGGCTTTTTTTAGTGCTACACACATCAATCCTGTTCACTGCGCCTCACGAGAAAGGACCATACAAGCTAATTATAAAGGGATTGAAATCTTTATTTAGCCTAATACAGTACAGTGCAACGAGCTGCTTTAATCCAGTGCTAACACTGAATGCTGGGCCCAATATGACTGGTCAACACTAGCCTCTATTTATAGCAATCAGCACACAAAGCAACTGTCTACTGCCCCCTATCCAGTCATATAATCAGCTGCTATGAACATAAACACTGGGAAGGACAAGTACTATGATTACTGATAAATAAGACTACAGTAACACATCACTGAAGTGGATAAAAAGTTGTATTAATATGTTAATTTCAAACTTAAATACTGAGTTTTGTTGGAATGTAAAATCGTTCTTCTTTGTGTAAAATTTGATTTGCAGGTTTTGTCCTTAGGCGTTGTAGGATGAAGAGGACACGTTTCCACCATGACCCGTCCAGTTTGTATGGATGAAATGTCCTGGGTTTGACAGTAGTTCATACGTGTGAGCGCCGAAGTAATCTCTCTGGGCCTATAAGCCAAAATATTACCAATTAAATAAAGAAACACTATAACAAAATAACAAAAATTAAAAAAAACAGAAAGGGTATTGGAGTCCAAAAAAAAAACAACGTCACGTGATTGTTCTAATCAGATAAACTTCCTCTCAGTCAGGGCCATATGTGCCGTGGTCTAGCTACAAGATTAATTGCATCAGAGTCTACATTGCAAACTGAATCCTAAGGCTGCTATCGACTAAATAACCTGTCTCAATATAGGCTATTAACCAGCCAACCCAACCAGACAAATGTGATCTGTAATGCATGTGATTCCTGCATTAATTTCGTATTGTTAATTTTTCAAGCTTCTCTCAAATGTTAATATTCTTGGATTTGTTAAATAAAATGCACTGTGATCTGATTTAAGAAAATGCTTATCTAATCTCCAAAATCCTTTGTTCCCCCTGGTAGACTGCAGTGAGTGAGTGGAGTTGTACCTGGAGGAGGTTGGCTGGCAGCATGTCATGTCTGTAGCCGTCGTAAAAGGACAGAGCTGTGGTGAAGCAGGGCATTGGGATCCCATGCTGGACTCCGGTGCTGACTGTTCGACGCCAAGACTCCTAAACAGACATTTCACACAGTTTAGTTTAGTATTTAGGTTAGGATTTTTATAACAAATATTTTTCCTTTTGCTTTGGTTTCCCAAAATGCAACACATTTGGACCTTGTCTGGATAGGGCTCTTGAGGTGTGTTGTAAATTACTTATAGGCTTATAAAGTACAGTTAAATACACTAATACAATAAATGTACAAGATAGTTTCAATGTACTCATGAAAAATGTTTTTTCCTCAATTTAATATTGAGCAAAAAGTTGAATGGTACAATATTATATCTGTAATGCAATGTCTTTATGCTTACAATTGCAATAATAAAATTGTAAATAATCAGTAGTGAACACCCATTGTTAACAACAGTGCTAACATTTCCTCTCTTCTAGTTGTCTAGTAGTTGCAAAATGATTCCAGGTTTTGTCATTGCAGCTGTTGCACTTGTATAGCCACTTTGTGTAGTCACTTCCTTGTTCCTCTTACCTGACAGTCTTGAACAGCATTACTGAAGAAGGAGTCCAGCAGCAGGTTCTGCAGGTCTGAGTCTCTGTCGAACGCCTCTTTGATTTTACCCAAAAACACACTGGACAGACCAGAAGCCATTTCCCACAAAATAACAATGTTAACAACTAAGTAAACAGCAATGCTCATATTGTATTGAGATACAAGGCAAATTAACAGTGCCCATCATGTTTTCCTCAATGTTTATAAAAAATAAGGGATAAAATTGTTATGATGCCACGTTATTTATTTTGTACAACATTTATCCACCCACTTTCTCCTATTGCTCTGCCTCTGTCATGCTTTGAAAGAGAGGATTTAAACCCTTTTGCATTCCAGCCTGATTTTCCAAAAATGTAACTAAAATTATTCTCTCCCTTCAAACTGAATCTGTTCCTGAATCCTTCTGAAGCACAAACAAATGGCTGGACTCTTTGTGAAGCTGAGGCTCTATACTTTGGCCTCTGTGTGCTCTACTCTAATTTTAAGTATAAACTAGCTCTACATAGAGGAAAATCAGATTTCAAATTCTGCCTGAATTATTTCGGGTATATATAAGAACAGGTCCCTTTAGTTGCCTCTTTAAGTCAATATGAGGATACTAAATGCACATCAAACATGACAAAATCAGATCCAGGCTCTAAGAAAATAGTCATTCTTTTGGCATATCGCCCACTCATACAAAGGAATGCAGAAACACAGAGAGAAGTCCAGAATTACAACAGAGTCTTACTTCCTTAAGTGCACCATTTCAATAAAAGTAACTTGACAAAAGACCAGACCATTGTTTCACCATCAGTGTCGACATAAATGAAGCTGAAGTGAGGCAAACTGATGTGAACTGTACCTGCGGATGATGCAGCCTCCTCTCCACATGAGGGCAATGGCTCCATAGTTCAGGGACCAGCCGAATTCTTTGGCGGCCTGCCTGAGCAACATGAAGCCCTGTGCGTATGAGATGATTTTGGAGGCGTAGAGGGCCTAAACATGAAATAAAATGGTGATTGGGAATGGTTATAATTAAGTGTAAAACAATAATAAAACCAATGCCAACAAATACACACTCACAGACAGTTGAGGAATTACTGCTAAATAAGAGTTTAAGAAAGTGGCATTATAGCTATGTATACATGCTTTATTAGAAAATATACAATGACACACAAATCTTACAGTAAAATGACATCATGATTACTTCTATCCAGTAAAAATTAACCCGTAGATCTAATATTTATTATTAATGTTATCATATCACATAGCACACAAATTACATGCAATTATTTAAAAAAATACAACTATGAAGTATGCCAAGGAAAAATGCATTAACAAGAGGATTTGGTCAATCAGCTACCAGCAAATATCTGTAGAGAGCTAAAGTTAGAAAACAACAGTAACCAATATGAGCCTTGAACAATTGCCAAGTGTGCATCTGTTTCAGTAACCTATGCTTATAAAATAGTGTATTAACATTGTGGTTTAACGTTTTACCATTTACCTTTCTAATGTCCTCGAGGAAAGCAGCCTTGTTTCCACTGAACTTGACCCCTTGTGGCCCGGAGAGGCTGCGACTGGCCTCTACTCGCTCATCCTTCAGAGAGGACAGACATCTGGCAAAGACAGCCTCCCCTGGGACACACACACAGACAGAGACATGGAGCTCGCCGTTAACCTGGTTAGATCTCTACAGATGTCACTGTCAAAATGATTAACAAATCAACCTGCCTTATAAGAGGATGGACTGTCAGACTTTAACTGTAACACTATGGTCTCTTATATCTTTGTGCATTCAAGGATTTAACAATTTTTAAGTCACATTTTAATTCTCATGGTAACCAGTACTGCAGTTAAAAATTAAGATTCAGTCCATAGGGCACATTTCACACAGGTCTAAGAATGTTAAAATAGATCCATTCTTATTTTACATTTATAATATTAATCTGTAAACACAAGTCATGTTACAAAGAATGAAATCTCTAGACCAATCACAAACTGAAGTTACTATAAACTAATGTGCAGAGACTATAAAGACTGCAAGTTTGAAGGTCCACAAAAGAGTGGTAAATATGACAGAAGATTGAAAACTGTTAAGTACTACAAGAATAACACATTTCAACATGTTTTAAAATAAATCAGATTTCATAATGTGGTCCCATGATGAAATATTTGTGTTTGCAGAGGACCTTAAAATACTTAAAAATTATTAGAAAATAAATTTAGAATTGACTGAGATAATTCTCGCAGCTCTGCTAAGACATTCAGCACAAGATGTTCCCAGTATAAAAGGTAAATAATGAACTAATACACAAAGCAAACAAAACACTCAAAAGCTACACAATGACTCAGCATTTTTCAATACATTTGTAAAAGTACTTATCTTATGACTGCATAAGTTTACAATTTAATATTTAATTAATGTAAAACCTGATGAGTAGGCATGACTTGCTAAATTTGTGCAGGCAAAGGAAAAAGTGTCCATTGAACAACATTGGTGTGGTCTTTCTAGCCCCATTGGCTTTAATCACATGTGCTTCACTACTGGCTCAGCTCTCACAATGAGCCCTTTTGTACTACAGTGATATGACAGACAAAAGAGGAGCTCCAGCTCAGACAGGGACAAAGTGCCTGTCCTACAATATCTAAAACCTGGTTTAAATGCAATTTATCAGGCAAAATATTTTCAGTGTTTTTCAACTAACCTCTTTTAATATAATATAATATAGGTAGGTACTGACTAATATGGTTGATAGGGTTGTACCAGTAGTTTCATATAATTGCTTTAGTAATGGTAATGGTATGCTATGACAGTTGAGGAGCATGTTCAATTAATTATGATTTTTTAAAAAGACGTTGAAAGCAATTAAATTAAAAATCGACAACTGAAATGACTATTTTATGTAATGATAAAAGAGTTTAAATTCACAAAATTATCAAAACAAAATAGAGAAAGGAGACCCTTATAATAAGGGGGCAGCCATCATCCCAAAGCTGTACTGTTGTTGCTTCTCTCCTGCATTACTCAAAGTTCCACTGAATACTTTTTTATGAAGGAGTCAGAGAGCAGTGCTTGAGAGCCTCACAAATCCCCATTATGTCACCTCAGATGAGCAGGCCTGCACTAAAGCCCTCAATCTCCTTATGGACAGTCACAACAACTACAACCAATTCACGCCTTCTGCTCCATACTGACATCATGGTGAAATCCTACACCAGCAGTAAAGCAACTTTTCGTTGTGTCACAGTGACAAATGAGTTCAGAAAGCACCCACTTTAGATACTTCTTAGATACTTCCTTGTTTAAAGCTTTAGGGTGTGTTTAAGGTGATGATGTCACATGATGAGGTAGTATTTATGGTTGGATTATGTGATGTTTTTTAACAAATATCCAAAAATGTTGTAACCTTAATGTCACTAGACCTATATGACCACACCATAAATCTGCTTATTTACCACAGACACCATATCTGCCCTATCTCACCAAAACACATCTATAGAATGCTCATGTCATCTGAAACTTGATAAAATTTCCTCTTACCAATCAGAGTAACAGGTGTGCCGTACTCCAAAGCTGAAATAGCTGTCCATTTCCCTGTGCCCTTTTGTCCTGCACTGTCGCGGATCTTAGGCAGGAGGTGTGTCCCATCTGAGTCTCTGTATTTGAGGATGTTAGCTGTGATCTCAATGAGGAAGGAGTCAAGTTCGGTTTTGTTCCAGCTGTCGAAAGCCTAACAAAAGAGAAGTAGATATTTCCTTAATGTTTTTGTCAATACTTTATGTAGACAATGTCATAATAGATACAAGCCTCACCTGTGCCATCTCATCATGGTCCATGCCCAAAACATCTTTCATCAGATGATAGGCCTCACAGATTAGCTGCATGTCTCCATATTCAATACCATTGTGCACCATTTTCACAAAATGCCCTGCACCTTCATCCCCAACCTAAGAAAATAAGCACATAGAATACATGGGGCAAATAAAAAGGATATCAATAGCAGCATGTATGATTACACTTGTGCATTTCATTGCCAGATTCCCAGCTAGAACTATGTCAAGGTGGCAAAGAAAACACTCACCCAGTCACAACATGGTTCCCCTGTGCCGACCTTGGCTGCAATACTTTGAAAAATATCTTTTATATGCGGCCTAAAAGAAAGTTTCTGATGAGAATTATGCTTTGTTCAGTTTTATGTGTGGAGTTTGCACTTAATAAAGTAGTAGTTAGGTTTACCAAGCCTCTTTGTGTCCACCTGGCATCAGGGATGGACCAAACCGTGCACCCTCTTCTCCACCACTAACTCCACTACCGACAAACAGCAGATTCTTCTCCTTTAAACTTTTACACCGCCGCTGGAGGGGAAAAAGTTGCATTTGAAGCTTTAAGTATGAATTACTGAGAAATACTAGTGTCCTGGTGACTTACAGTTGTGTCTCTGTATTCTGAGTTGCCACCATCGATGATAATATCTCCAGGTTCAAGGAGAGGGACCTTATGTAAAACAAAGCAAAACATATAATTTTAATGTTTATAATTATGAAGCAGCGGTTGTCACAGAATATTCAAGATTACTGTTGCAATTTCAGAATAACTTCATAAAAAGCTATCTCACTGTTGAGAAGTCAATGTTGACCACAACCCACCAGTTTGTCAATGAAGTCATCCACGGCCTGTCCAGCCTTGACCAGCAGGATGATCCTCCTGGGCTTTTTCAGCTTTGACACCATGTCCTCTAGCGACTCTGCCCCGATAACCTTAGAGCCTTTGGCTTCGTTCTTTAGGAAATCATGCACCTTGGACACTGTTCGGTTGTAGGCACACACCTGTTGAACCAAAAGGGCATTATCTAAATTGTTTAAAAGGTGATAAACATTTAAAATAAGGGCAGACATATGCGCTTACCACAAAACCATGGTCATTCATGTTCATGATGAGGTTTTGACCCATGACAGCCAAACCAATCAAGGCAATGTCTGCTCTGTAAAGAAACGGGCATGATGACATGTCACTAAAGTCTATTGTCAACTCCATCCAAATTCATGATATATTAAATTGGTAATGGACACTGATTTCATTATTTACTGTATTCTCAATAAAATTGGAATAGAGTGACTTTACATTATTACCAACCAAATAAGCAAAAGGCTACAAGACTTCACAGAGGACACAAAAGCAGGAGTCACTAAATATTAACGAAAGAACTTGTTTGGCTGCTGTCAAGTCTTCATTGAACCTGCATGGCTAGGCTAACAAGCTAACAACTTTAATCCGTACATAACAGTTACATAGTGAACAAAGAATATACTGAAAATAACATATAATCTAGCATCAATGGCTACAATTTAGCCTCTACCCTAGTGTCTGTATGGTGGGTAAGAAGACGTACTGTGCCATAGTGCTCGGAGGAGAGGTGTCCCAGAAGTCTGCAGTTGACAGCGGAGAGTTGAAGTGAGCACTGCTCTGTCCCTGCTCCTCGGTGGATTTCACTTCCTTGAACTGAGGCAAACCTGACTCCGCCGACGTACACAGACCACCCAATCAGAGGACAGCCCGTGAACTGAAGCGACACTGATTCTGCGCTCTGATTGGTCCAAAATACTGAGCAGACGTATGCAGTTTGCTATTGGCTATTCCAGCTGTCAATCTTATTGCACAACACACGCCCCCCAGAAAATGCGTCATTCATTTTATCATTTAATGGTTAAAATATTTTAAAATTTAATAAACAATTTTTTCAACAATTTTCTTTCTTTTTGGCTGTTTCTTCCCAGATCACCCTCCATCTTGTCCTGTCCTCTGCATCCAAATCGAGACAAATGCAATTTAAAGATGCACTTTTCTTGGCAGAGGATTAATATTTGTAAAAGGTGTGCTGTGTAACATGTTCCAGCATATGGCAGTAAATTTGGAAACACCGACACTACCAGGCCAAGTTACAGGTAAGATTTGTGGAGAGGTGGTAATAGTTAGATACATTTAATACCATACTGCAGCTCTGTATTCAATTTTATTTTTTAACTGGAGGCACATTTCTCTTAATTTTTAAAGCTGGTTTAGTACCAACTCAAACTGCACTGTTTGAGGGAGCAAGGGAAGGCCAAACACCGTCTTCCATTTGTGAAATAAGATATGTAAATTTAGAGCTTTCATTCCTTCATTATATGCTTATTACATTTGAACACTCTGAAGTTAAGTCTGAGTTTCAGCAGAAAGTATTAATCTAACATTAAGAACCACCCACTCATTCATAAGGGCAAATTATGTGGCAAATTCAACAAAACTATGTTTTTAAAAATATTCAATGTTAACCAAAAGACATAGAAAACACATTTTCATTTCAAGAGAAAACTCATTGAGCGATCAATAGTTCTGCTAATGCACAGTTTGCACTTTTATTGTTGCCTCATTCACTAAACAGTTCAATGGTGCAAGATTACCATACACAGAATTAGGATATCTGCATGACACATCTATGCTATACAGCGAATGGATTATAATTATTACAAATACAGAAAACATATTTACATTTGAATTCAAGCTCCATACAACACAGATATTTACAAAATAAGTATGAAAATGAAACCAGTCTGATAAATAATGTACAGTGTTAATGTTTTTGTTCATTTGGTGAAGTTATTTTAATTATCGGGGTAAACGAAATATTAATCCATGGCTAGTTTTGATCAAAAGGCATCAACGGAAAAGTGTTAGGTGAAGAAAGCACTATCACTAGCTACTATGTGTTATCCCTGATATTAGAAAAAATAAAATCAACCTTTTAGTGGCTGTGTGCATGAATGAATATGCATTTCCTTTATAGAATTTCATTTAAACCATCATTTTAACCACATTCTGTCCAAAAGGAAGCACTAATGTCACCTGGCTGTCTTCATAAGATACACAGCGGGTCACATCTTTGTTCACTTTTTAACCATTTTATATTTTCAATACATTCATGCTTTCTTTTGGTTCAATCCGAGCAGAACAACGTAACCACTTCATGTATGATCAGTTAGTTGAACCTTTCCTTATTGTGCAAAGAGCTGCAAACTAATATGTACATTGCAAAACAATAAATACACAGTTCAAAATTATACACCTCTGATAGATAAGAGTGAAAATCTTTGCTCTAAGTAGTAACCTTAATTCCGAGGTACAGTTTTAAGTATCAGTGCATAGAAGTGAATTGTCTATGTGTCCAACAGGCTGGCAGACCTAAGGATGCACAGTGTATTCTAATAGTGGAATTTTCACTCAGTCACTCAAATGTGGTGCAGTGGTTATTAATTAGTGTAAATGTGCCTTATTAAAAGGTTTGTATAAGTATGTTAGCTTAACCAACTCTTCCTTTAATGTCTTTTGCATTTAAAACCCCATACTGCCAATTCTCTCTTTATTTTGTGAAGATGTCCCAACCATTTCTGTGCAATTTTAAATGTTTATGTGAGTTGTAACAAGTAAAAAGTGTTGCCCACTAAAAAGCCCATCTGCTTCTTCATTCTGACTATCATTTGTACAGATGACATACTGCTGGTTGGCTGGCCAGAGTTTCATAACGCCATCTTGTACCAATCATTGCTCAACCTAACTGAGAAACAGAGGGACCAGTGGGTTAGACTTCAAATTGCAAGAGCAAACATTTTCACCTCAGTTAAATAAAAACTTTGAGAACAGCTTGTCCCTTAAAACATATCTTCTTTTTTCCTTCAATAAACAGCTATCCAGTGTAGCCTTGTTAAAAGCTCTCAAAAGTTCCTGATACTCCATTTTTACCATTATTGACCTATTCTTGCTATAGATAAGTGTTAATGTGCAAAATAAGGTTAAACACCATCACAGCTAGTTAGAAATTATACAGAAATAAATGCCCTCTCTTATGTCCCATATAGAAATCTTCACTAATAACATGATACAGAAACAGCGATAATCAAATCAGAATGATGAATGGTTAAAATTCACAAGTGAGGACAAAGCAGTCGCGTGCTTCCGCACTACTTCAAAATGTACTATACAGATCTGTCCCGCAGGATGCAAACTAGCAGCGTCATCAGTACTAACTTTAAGACCAAATAGCTTTCCTTCATTCTGGTATATTTTGTCGCTGTAATCACAAGTCATTGATGTTAGAAAAGGAATTTGTAATTTTTTAAGCTGGGAGGAATGTCTTACATTATTAAAGCGACTACTTCACACTACTTCAGAAATTACTGTATGTACAAGTATCTCTCAAGTCGATCTGTCCTCCTCCTCATCTCCTCCGAACCCTGTTTTTAATCTTTATTTGACTTAAAATGGCAGAAAAGCTGCAACAAATAACAAATATCTTGATACAAATAGTATTTTTTGCATGTTTCTGCAGTTGGCGCGCATTGTACAAACACTAATGCATGAAGTTGCAAATGCATGAACTCACTGACTGACAGCACTACTGAGGTTGGCTCTATGCGCACAGATAGAGGAGGAGAGGTTACAATGGACAATAAAGAATGCCCATAAACCTCTGATTTGAAACTATATTAGTTAATTTTGTTTGTACTACATGAGGAGATACAGATCTGATCATTAAGACATTAGCAGCAATTGTGGATGTAGTCTTTCTTTCTGCAGTAGTAAACTAGAACTCAATATTTTCCCTAGGTCTTGGTGCGTAAGCAAACAGGGTCTTCTCCTGAGGACTTCTGCAGTTATGTTTGGGCTCTTAAATGTACAAAAGATAAATTAACTACAGATAACACTGATAGACGATTTGTACATGTGATTGGCAAACTCAAAGTTGATGGCCAGAAAGAACAGCTTCTGAAGGATCGTGCACACACAAGTCGACTATTACAACATGCTACTAGTCAGGGGTTTGGGAATGACAACGAAGCTGAACAAACTCAACCCAAACATCGTCAGAAACAGAACACAGAGCGGGAGGAGGAGCTGGAGGGAGGGACATGAAACTGTCGCATGAAAGGAGACTTAAGCCACAAGTCTACTGACAAGAGAAACCGTCAAGATTCACAATGATTAGTAAAGTGGTAACACTTGTAAGTTCAAAGGCTTCAGAAGAGTGAACTGTTCCCTGCGTGCCTTAGTTCTTGGGGAGGCCACTGCGCCGCCGGGCCAGCTTCGACCTGTAGAAATGAGAAGATTTTGCATTATAATAGACTTTATAATAAAACAATGTAAAATCTAAAAATATATATTTACCGTATTGTTCCTGCCAGCAATGGGTTAAACGCATACAACCAGTCATTCATGTCCTTCTCATTGTTGGCCTGCAGCAGGATCCCTCTGTGTTTGGTGCACACTGCAAATGTGTTGGGAGTCTGAAAGAAATCAAATAGTATTTTATTGCCTTTGCTACATCCCATTCATAATTGAGTGTGCATTTCATTGTTTTCCTTTATAGTAGGCCTACATTTGAACTACAGTATTTTATGTATTATGTACTAATATATACATGCAGTATATGTATATTGTGTCTTCACTGAATCAATTCACTAATAGCATTTTTGTCATTTGAACAAAGGATTTATTTATTCATTTTCATAATTATTTCAAAATATATTACACGTTTACTGTTGTAATGTGTGTAATGTGTGCCTCTTTACCTTGAGCATGGCCTGCTGGTCTTCGCTGTACTCCACTTGGGCTGTGGACAGGTTCAGGACCCCTCTCTCCACTGGGTCCTTGTCACTGTTGTAGATGAACACATACGGCCGACGCACCACCACAAAGTGCTTTACCCACGAGTTAGAACGTGGCTCCATGAAGCTTAGGAAACCCTTCTTGGACACTACAGATCTGAGCAAGAGAAGAAAAAAACAATGATTATTACTATATGGTTTACTTTTAAGTCCAGGGCAGACAATAGGGCTGCATGATTTTGGTAAAAAAATTTATTGCTTTTTTCTGACAAGAGTTGCAGTTGCAAAATATTTTGCAATTTATGTTTTAATAGTAGGATTCTGTTTGAAATGCACATTGTAAACAACTACAGCAGTAAGATCTGAGAGAAAATTGAAACATGAACTGATAAACTAATATAAAAATACACTGAATTTAATTTCTATAACTTAAAAAATTAAGATTTTGTTCTTTGTCGCAGAATTCTATCTACATAATTTCAGCCTTTTTAATTTGATAATTGTAAACTCAAAATCCAATTTCAATTCGATTGTGATTTATTGCACAGCGCTAGCATACAATTTCATTACTTCAAATCAATATGAAAACCTGCACAGACAAAATAAAGTGCAGTTGGCAGCTAAGATCCACAGTCAGACATACCCCGGCCTCATCTCTTCTATATCAGGCACCAGGTTGAGGAACTCGTGCTTTCCAGCCCGAGCCAAAATTGACATCTCCAAAGTAGGAACCATCGGGAAGTTTTCATAATCTGAGCAGGAGGGGCTGGTGGCTCTGGAGCTATTTTCTGGGGTCCTACAAGAATAACGCACACATCATTACCATAGTTGTAAACTAATTGGCTTGTTATGGCTTCATTGTGATAGTAAAAATATGAATGCCTTACTTCTGGTCCATGGAGCTACAGCGAGAGTCAGCCAGGGACGGGCAGGTAGAGGAAGGGGTGAGGGTGGCACTGCTCAGGCTGGTCACTGAAGGGTCCCGTCCAAGTGGGGAGAGATCCGAGAGCTGATATAAAGAGAGGAAATGTATTACTTTTGGGTTTTTATGCTTAGTGGAAACACTGAAATACTGTTTATTTTGTGAAGATATAGCACCATGTTGCAAATATTACTTTGATATCATTACTTTTCTATGCAAAGTTAAGACAAGCTGATATATTGTTTTTTTTTTACCTTGCAGTCACTGATGCTGTTGACCACTTGGTTGTATTCACTGTTAAAGGTGTGAGTCATGAGGCGCAGGCACTACAGCACAACAACAACAAAATTTGTTATACATTTCATGTGGCTCTATCCAGTTACTTGCACATATTTGAGCAAAATGTACTACAACTCTAGGGTAGAACTGAAACCACTGTGTGCTGTCTAAAACCACCTTAACGATATAGCCAGCGTATGCCGACGTATGAAAAATTTGGCAAATACGCTGCCGTACGTCGGATAAGTTCTAGGTAGGTATTGTTTAAGTTATGAGCACGCTGAAGCACGCTGGCATATGGTGACATACAGCAAGGTCGCCGAAAAATTTTGAGCATGCTCAAAATTTCTCGAAGTACATCAGCGTATGTTTATGCGTCCTGCATACGCGGGCCATAAGTTGTAGGTAAGTTATGCGATTGTTGACAAGTTGTAAAGTGTTTTATCCTCAAGAAGTCCAATGTTAGCATGCATGTTTGTTAGCATTACCATGATGAAAAAACTGTGCTCTGGCACTTATAAACTCATGACAGTCAATATTTAGGATGCTAGGAATAAATTTGAACCGTTTCAAACCATTTAAAATAATAGTTCTGTTTTCAACATTTTTAAGACTTAAACATTACTTTCTCTATGATTTAATTCCAAGTATTATAGTCTAAGTGAGGTACCTTGGTAGCCAGCTCCTTCTCACGATCCACCAAGCTCTCAATATCAGCAGAGTCATAGCCGCTGCTCTCGCTGGGGGTGATGGCGCTCTCGAAGGTAGTGCTGGAGATCTGAGAGGAAATAGAGGTGGACGTGGAGAGGGTCCCCGAGCTCATGCTGGGTGACAGGTCGCTCAGGGACTTTGTGGTCGGGGCTGGTCCCATTGGAGCTGCATCACCCAGTTTCTCCCTGAGGAGGAGCAGGTGACGAGTCTTTTCCACCTAGAAACAATGAGATCAAAGATGATATTCGAAGAAATAAACAGTGTAAAATCAAATGATGCACTAATGCCATGCACTATGGTCATTTTAACAACTTTGCTGGTGAATGGGACACCACCTGCTTGTCTACATGGAGAGTTTATTGTGTTGCCTGCAATTTTCCACAGAATGAAATTTAACTACCGTAACTTCCTGGAGACAAGCTGGTGACTACACCAGGTAAAGTCAGAGATCTGGCAACCACACACAGGTTTTTCAAGGTATTTTTGAGTGATCAAACCTGTAATTGAGCAACTAAAACAGAGATGAGTTTAATGCCATTCTGCAGAATATTACAGGGACAGTAATTACGTCTCCATGGAGTAAAGCAGTATCATCCATTGTAATAGTTACATACACTTTTAAGTGTTGACAATATACCTCATGTAACTGCTCCATCTTCTCCAGCTCCCACTGGTGCTCCAGGATCAAGCTATCTCCTCTGGGCCTCCACCCAGCCAGATTCTCCTCTCCTCGGACATATGCCACAGAAGTGTCCAGAACCTTTCTCCGTCTGCGCTGCATCCCTGCTCACCAACACAAAAATGGTTAGAAATTATATAAAGCAGTCTCTCAAACTTATCCTACCAAGTCCCACCAAAATAATAAGATAAAATCTAAGTACCACCAGTTCTACATCCAACCAAAGCCAGGGCTAAGCATTGTCTAAATGAATAAAGCATTAATACAGTACTTCTAAATTATAATGATTAAACCAAATGAAGACGCATACAATATGTGGAAGAAACACTGATATAAGGTTTCCTATTATCTGATATACAAATATATTCAAAGTAAACATTTTTGGAGAACTCACCAGGACTTCCTGTGTCAGACATTTTACACAAGCTCAGCTCATAGATGCCAGTCACTCTGTTGCTGTAATATACATAATGAACTTTAATTGATACACATACATTTTAATATTACAAAAACACAAATGGATATTTTATTCTTACCAGTCCGGAGTTTTTGAGTACCCACTTCCAAACAGATTTCGGAGTGACCGTGGAGGGGAGATCTTTGCGTCTCTGGAGTAGAAGACCATGCAGATATCTTTGGTGATGATTGCTGGTTGAATACAGTGGTCGAGCTGTGGGCAGAGACACTATAGTCAGTAAATATGCACACAATTATGAGGTGTTTTTTCAGCTAGAAAAACATAGAAGAGTCCCTTGCCTCCAGATAGGCTGAAAGTGTCATATAGATTTTCTCTCCATATGGTGTCACTCTATTTAGGAGGAGGGAGTTGTGAAGGGAGCTGTCCCACACTGCCTCAAAGCGATAGAAGGTCCTAAAAGACAAAATCATAACATAATTCAACAAATATGACTTATACAGTGATTTTTATAACCTTGTGAAGGAAAGGTGCTATCAGATTGGAAAAAGCCAATACAGTGACTTCAGTGTTAATCCCAGACAAGTGGAGGTGTGAGGAAAACCACAAAGGTGAAAGTGTTGATAGAGTTATCAAAGGAAAGACAAAAATAGAACCAGGGCTTATAACCAGTTTCTGAATTGCTTAATTGCTCTGAATTGAACTTGAAAAGCTATCAAAAATTTAGAGAAGTTATAAAATATTGGCAATATCTTACTATTTATAACAACAATTATAATATTAGTTATGAATGGATAATTAGAATCATGCAAGTAAAATAATCTTCTAGAGATTAAAAATAGAAATTATTATCTTTTTTGCATATAGTGTGGTTCTTCTTTACAATAAATCAAGAAATACGTCATATGATAACACTACAATGATTCATCCATTTTTCATAGTACATCCACTGTGCTCTTGATCAGTGCTAGGGTATTTATCTGTCATTATGTTTCCCTGATTGACAGCAGGGGGCGCCCTTATCCACAATCTAACTGGACTAAATGCCCTCCCTGACTCATGCTGGTTGTTTACTCAGTGAAAAACAACGAGGAGAAATCATTCATTTTGAAGTCTGGAGGTAGATTAGATCAACAAAACAGTGAACTGAGATTGTTCTACTCTTAACCACAATGTTACAGGAAACACAGGCAGGAGAAGGTGTGTGATTCCATGGAAGGTTGCCCACTATGTATCAGGATCAGTCTGGTAAAATGTAGTTAATGTGTAAATGTATCATTCATAATCATTAATAAAATAAATGCTTTGAAAAAAGTAATAAAAATAAATAAACAGTATTAATTTTCAATCAGTGATACACAATGTAACTTTTCTGGTGGAAGACCAGCCACTTGTCTCCATGGGATGTTATTGCTTTGCCTGGAATGCTTAATCTCTATTGAGACAAACAGGTGATGCCACAAGGCCAAGTTCAGATCTGCAGAAAGGCAAGCTCACTCACACTAAGAATAAATGTTTTTCAGTGTATTTTTTTTAGCAATGAACATACATAGTGCATCTGTAAAATACTATAATACCAGTGTGAACATTTTAGATTTTTTCCTTGTATTCCTTTACATAACAAACCTGATCCACATATGAAATTTGAAGGCAACACTTAATGCAATCACTAACAACACTATAGAACCTATTGGGGTTAACTAAGAACTAGGGTGTGTCCATGTAAATAAGAACAAAGGGACTATCACTTAAGGAGCTCAATGGGCAGGCTGATACCTAGCGATATCCTTATCAATAGAAAGGCTGCAAGTCCGGCCCGAGCAGGAGAAAGAGAACAGCAAAAAAAGAGGAAGAAGAAGCACAAAATGTCAGATACAACAAAGCAAACTTAAAACCAACATGGAAACAGTGGAGCCATCATTTACAATAGCCAGAAATAAAAAGAAAAACAACAATGTCCTAGTTCTGAAATGGGTTACTGCAAGTATGGTTGAGTGTGTTCATAATGTACCTATTGGAGTTGTGAGAGGATTTGATGTTTTTTGCAGAAATGATGTTGAGAGACAGGACAGCGTCTGCGGCAGTCTCATCCACTTCAGCTTTGTTTCGGATCCGACCTGGGGGAGAAAGAATGATGATTAATAAGGCTGAATAAAATCATAAAACGATTGCATTAGAAATAGAGTTAAGGGTGTGGTGAGCCTTGATGCCCTTATAGAGAGCTTGAACAAGATCCTCTTGTTCTATAGTTGGAATAGTGTTGACATTATACTATAGTTCCATTAAAATGTGCCTGCATCAAAATAGCTCATAGTAGAGGTATGTAGGTCACTTATATTTTGTTGCTTTCTTACTGTTATAATTATGATTCTGTTATCTTGATTTCATCGCATGTATACTTTTTTAGTTTATAGTGTGCAGTCTTAAGAAGTGAATTTCACCAATTGTGACCTATGAAGTTCTGTTTTTTCTTAACTTTCAACTAAATCAGGTGTTTCATGGATATACAGTAGCAGACCTTTATTCCATACTGCTTTTAATAGCTAACTGCATTACACAATTTAAACCATTTAGAAATCTGTGTCAGCCAATAGCTCCCACTGACAGAGAAGCCATGATCTCTGAGAACACCGCTGTCTCCTGTGTTGGTTAATGTCTATATTTTCACAGTGCCCAGGAGCATCAGTCCAAACATGTCTGCTAACACATGAGCTGCACAATGTCAGCTGGTGTCTGAACCAAGCATGTCGAATAAGGTGAAATGCAATTATCTGCTGTATCAGACTGAGGGTCGATGTGTGCGGTTGGAGGTGAACCTTCTCCTCTCCTCCAGACTCAAAACCATAACTGAAGAAATCATTTAGTTTTTCACTACTGCGTCAAGAATACAAGTCCAGGCCAAAAAGATTACTTCACTATCAGGGCACACGCTGACTTAAACAACTTAATTGTCCAATTTCTACTAGAAGGGCTGAACAACATGTAGGAAATATTAATTATGACAGATTTTGCGATTGCAGTATTGAGATAAAGTTTACACTGCTCATGTTGAGGATCCTTAAAATTTGAAGACCAAAATATGAATAGCTAAAAAGTCATTTCAGATTCAATTTGTAGAGGTCTAAACTACAGTGTTAGGTCTTTCATGTATCCAGACTTGTTTGTTTGTACTAGAATATTGTGTCATTGCAGTGTTTTAGTAACAGCAACCATTCAATTTGGGATTTCAATTTGATTGCAGTTAATCTTGTAGTGCAAGCTTGTACTATCCGGCCTTTTGTATTGCAACACTAGAGAAACAAGAGTGTTTTGTTTCTGCAGGGTTGGGTCCCAATGCTCGAAGGGAGAACTCACCCACGACCAGTTCACGGACATCCTTCCAGTGCAGTTCGCTGCCTTTCTCGTGGATGAGAGTCACTGTGATCCTGCGCTGGATCCCCTGCAGCCAGTATGACGCACATTGGGTTATGAACAGGCACGGAAGAGTGCTCCAACAAAAGTAATGTATTATTCTTAGTGAAAAGGTCATATGAAAAACATTTCACAATGAAGAATACAGTGTAAAATTGTTACTAGAGTACATTACAAAACAGTGTGACACTACTTAAGCTGAGGCAAGATTAAAACAAAAAAAAAAATGTACAAGAGATGCTATGGTGTAAACTTTACATTTTCATCATAACTCAGAATGCTTAGTAGCATTAGTAACTTAGTAACAGTAAATATTATATTTGTAAACATAACATCTAAGGATTTATTCTTGACAATTTTATAATGTTCAATTTCTAGGTGAAATTTCCACTCCATGATTTAGAAGAGGCATTTCCATACCTGATGAAGCAAGTAAGTGCCATGACAGGGCAGTCCTCCACTGTGATCGACAACAGCTGGGATGTACCTGTGACGATGGGGGAAAGTTATCTTGGGCTCAAATTAACTTCCAATCACAAAAATCTACAGAATTGTCCATGTAGGTTTAATATTATGGCTCATTATGAGTTCATTGTCTGTGTAATCTTAACAGGTGAGTTGTGAAGAAGGGCTTGTCAATGGACTTTGTTGCTGTTAAAAGCATATTGATTTCATGTAAAGTATAGACCTAGTCTTTTTTAGACTTACTCTCCAGTGGGCTCAAGTTCGCTGATCTCAAACCACACTAGCAGGTCGTACTTGCTGATGCTCTGACCCAGGTAGGACTTGGTGAAGGTGTTCAGCTTTGTGGCTGGAACTAATTAAAAATAAACACAACAAGACAAAATAGATATCTTAGAATAACAAACTAAAAGACTGAAATACTGTACAACAACAATTGGAAGTTTACAATGGTAAGATCACACCATTAGACAATACTCAAAAAAGTGTGTTTAGCATAGATCTATGTAAAGTATACAACCTACAAAGAACTTTTTGAATACAAAATATTGCTTTTAAATGTAACAAAAAACTAAATTCAAATTGACTCTGAAACTAAACCACATCTTACACCAGTTATTGCTTCCTGCTGTCAGCACATCAGGATTATCTTTAGTTTAACAGGCTAATCTTTGCAGCTCAGGTACATGTAGTCTGCTATGTTCATGTTCAATGAAACTAATACAGCTCCAAATGAAAAGTACTATAATGAGACAGGCAATGATCACAGAAAAGCGTTAAGCCTCCGTGTAGTGGCTGGTGTTTTGTCAGTGATCCTTCATGATTCTGACAAATACTTCTTTGTAATATTTTGGATTTGGTATATTCAGCAGCTAAGCTTAGTAAAAATATGACATTAAATGCATCAAACATCAGTAATGCAGAGTTACACTGTTATTCTTTATTGCACACTTTCATGTTATGTAATTGCAAAGTTGATTCAGTTATAAATTGTGTTTAGCTTGTTTATAGAGCTTGCTGAGACCATCTGAGCATAGACGAAATAAAATAAATTGTAAAATGTGTTGTGGCCATAAATGAAAAGAACAGCACACTCCTACAGCAATGAGAGACATCTTTAGGCATTTAAAGACTTATGACCGAAGAAAATTATAAACAACTAGATATGATTAAACATCACATTTATGTTTATTATTGAGTAACAGACCCAGATGACCGAACAGTAAAATATCACTGGCTTTATAAATGGCAAAAATATGATTTGTTTATGTGAAAATCGATTGGGCTTAAATTTAAATGTTAAAAATGATTTGGGACATTTGGGGATTAGTGACACAAAGTCCCCAGATGTAACCCCCATTAACCAATATGCTAGTATGCAGTGGATTTGGGGGGTTGAATAGGGAGTCAGGATATTTAAAATGGTCTACATATTTCACAACACCAGTGTCACTGTCCTCTAATAAACAATCTAAAGCACAAGTACACACCCATACCATCACACAAGCCTATACTAGAGAAAATACACTCATCTAATATCTCTTCTACTTCTACCCTATTTCTCTGGTGGACCAACCATGGTGTCTGGGCACAGTTAGCACCGGGTCATCGGGTACTGGAATGAAGGGGAAGTGAGAGAGCTGCTCGTCATCCAAACTGGCCACAGCGGAGGCAGCTAGCGCATTAGCATGCTCAGACAGAGTATCCAATACTTTGCCATTCACATAACCGCTCATGAGGTAGCACACTAGCTCTATCTTTCGGGTGTGGTCTAGATTTCCGTAAATGTAATGGAAGATATTTTAAAATGGGTTAAGAGGATTAAAGGTGGGGGAGAAATAAATCCAGAGGAAGCCGTAAGTGAGACAAAACGAAAAAGACATATGAGTCATGCAAAACAATGAAACAAAAACAATGGAATACTTGTATAAAAGAAATCAATCACTGATGAGGTAAATCCAGTTCTTACCTGGTTTAGACAGAGGCATGGGAATTGGGTAATATTTTCTTGAAGGAGTGGGAGGACTACACGCAAAAAGAGCAATTAGCCAATAAACACAAGAAACAATAAATAATATATTGCAATGTATTTATTCAGTCTCGTCTTACCTGATTATGTCCTGACCATGAACATGCAGTGGATGCTGCTGATAATGTCCAAACACTTCAAACACAATGGGCTTGGTTTTGATGTATTCTATGAAGGACTCGGTCACCTCAACAGAGATCTGTCCAAATAAGAAAATGGAAGGCACAGTCAAGATAAATTCACTTATGTTTGTCTACTGCTATTTATTGATTTCAGTTTCCTGTTTAAAGGCGCCATGTTGAGAACTTTTAACATTTCAAAAGGTACAAACTGTGTATTAAATTGTTCATCACTCTAATCCCCATGGATGTGTACATTCACATTTCAATTGTGTTGTTTTTCAGTAGTTCAATTGTGAATACATACAAAAATAATAATTTTAATGTTAAGTTTGCTACTAACTGTTTACAACCAATGCAAACCAAACTAGATCATCAATTGCACCTATGTTACACCTTATCACAGTTCTAAAACTGATGTATGAAAATACACTGTTTACATTAAATAGTTGATAAGCAGATATAATTTATCTGACTTATTTACTACCCATTTTAATAAAAAAAATGTTTATAAAAAGTTTATAAAAAGTCTTACATTTTGAACATGGTAAAAGCCCAGCGGGGCGCCTTTGCCTGTGTTCTTCAATGGCTCTGTAGAAAAGGCTTCATCATGGCGGTGCAAGAAACTGTGCAAGAACAAAATGTGTTTATAAGTGTCTAAACATCAAAGGTTTCACATGATGTTTGAGCCTTACTTGAACTGGCAGAAGATGTCAGCATACTCCGGTGGGATGCCACTGGCCTGCAGCACAGTGACTCTGAAAGTAAAGATACTGCCCACCTCCAGCTGCCCTGCCAGACCTTCACTCAACTTGGGGTCAGCCATGTTCCTCAGCTTCAGATCTAAACAAAGACAATAGTAGAGACTCAGGACTTTGATGTATTGAAATTTACCCACAGCTGTGCAACTCCAACATGTGACAATGTGTGTAGGAACTTAAATTTGCATAATTCAACACAACAGGTTTTCTATGTGATTTGTAGGCCCCACTCGAGCACATTCCCGCTGCATGGGACTTCATTTGCATAACAACTATAGTAAGTTCTCTTATGCATTGAGCCCGACCATCTGCCAAGTGTGTGTTGCGCTGAGGGCTAAGGATTTATGGTAGTGGTCTGCTAGCTAGCCGTACCCATGTCATTGATTCGGTTGAGCTCCTCTGAGGGTGTGTTGACCTCTGAACTCTGGCCTTGTCCCTCCACGATGCGCAGCTCCTCCAGGGACATCCCAGACCGGGTCATAACCGTGGATGGGAAATCATTCTGGTTTGACAAGAGACACAGAGAGGCAAGGTGCATTAGCATACAGCAGTGTAGAGAAAACCAAAGCAGGGAAGAGTCCTCCTCTGTAAGCATTTAGCATAACCAAAATGTTAACACTGGCTTTACTTTGAAAAGGGTGCTTCT